TTTTTTAATATTTATTTTTGATTATCTTTTTGTTATTTTTATTAGAAATAGTGGGCCACACAAATCCAATTGTGTGGCCTAGCCCAAATTGGATAACTCCATTAACCAACCTGAAGAACATAGAGATCAACCGCTGCAACGTGGAACATTTACCTCCTTTGGGGAAATTGCCTTCTCTAGAATCACTCACGATGAGTGGTATGTGGGAAGTAAAAAAGGTGGGAGTTGAATTTTTGGGGATAGAAATGTCTTTGTCTCCATCTTCATCATCCGTTGTTGCCTTCCCCAATTTGAAGACACTGCAATTTAGTCTTATGCATGAGTGGGAAGAGTGGGAAGAGTGGGATTATGGAAGCAGAGGAGAAATCATGCCACGTCTTTCTTCTTTTATAATTTGTTATTGTTCGAAGTTAAAGAAGTTGCCGGATTATATTCTCCGAAATACTACCCTGCAGGAATTGAATATTTTTTATTCATCAGATACATTGATTTCAAATCTATTAAAAGAGGATTGCAGGCCCCATATATCTTGCATTTCTAACGTGGATGTGGAAGGGGAAAAAGGTACTTCACTTTCACCCTACTTTTTTCATTAACATTTTCAAATTTTTTTGGCAAGCCTCAGTACCAAACACATTATTTAAATGTATAAATTGGTAACAACCCCTCCCCCCCTCCCAAAAAAAAAAGAAAAAAGAAAAAAAGGCTGAAATTGGTCCTTTTGTATTTTGTTTTTGTTTTTAAAAAATTACTATATTGTAGTATATTATATTATAGGTAAAACTTAGTGTATAATTTTTGAAATTCAAATTAAGATATATAACTTAAATAATTTAATATTTATTTTGTGATTTATACAATGTAAGATATAACCTGAGGTAATTATTACTGTTTCTTTTTACCCACAAATCTCGAAAACAAATCCAATATTGTATAGTTATATTTCTATTTTTTAAATTTATTTCTGATTTTTTTTTCTGTTCTTTTTATTAGAAATAGTGGGCTACACAAATCCAATTGTGTGGGCTGGCCCAAGTTGGATAACTCCATTAACCAACCTGAAGAACATAGTGATCCAGGGCGGCAACATGGAACATTTGCTTCCTTTGGGAAAATTGTCATCTCTAGAATCACTCAAAGTAAGTTCTAATGGCGTAGTGAAAAAGGTGGGAGTTGAATTTTTGGGGATAGAAACGTCTTTGTCTCCATCTTCATCATCCGTTTTTTCCTTCCCCAATTTGAAGTCACTGGCATTTCAGGCGATGGGAGAGTGGGAAGAGTGGGATTATGAAAGCAGAGGAGAAGAGGATATCACAATCATGCCACGACTTTCTTCCTTGACAATTAGATTTTGTCGGAAGTTAAAGATGTTGCCGGATTATATTCTTCAGAGTACTACCCTGCAGGAATTGACAATTTTCAACTGTTCAATTATTTCAAAACGCTGCAAAGAAGACTACCAGCCCTTTATCGACCGCATTCCTCACTCCGAAGTGCAAGACTAGGACTAGGGAGTCAGACTCGGACTTTGAGTAACTCGCAAAAAAGAAAGGTACTGTCTAATTTTGCTTTGCTCAGTGTCCTTACCCTATTTGATTTTGTTTGTTGGTAAGCAACGGGGCGAAAACCCATTAATTACCCATACACATTCAAATAATAATATTAAACCAAGCAAATTACTAGTAAATATAGAAGTTGATATTTTTGCATTCTTTTTCTTTCTTTAAAAAAATTTGCCATTTTATAGTACAAGATGCATTGAGGCTGAATTTTATATTTTTTTATTTTTAAAATTTCAATTTTTAAGGTATATATATTTCAATTAATATAACATTCTATTTAGTGATTTATGTAATTTGAGGTAATTGTTATTGCTCCTTTTTCTTTCCCACACCATGGAAGCAATTTCATTTTCTGTTTTTCTTTTTCTAATTAATTATTCCTTCTGATCAATGATGTTAATACCGTACCGTACCGGCCGGTACGGCCGGTACGTA